AGCCCATGGGGACATCTTACATACAAACTGACACTCCATCATTCTGCTCCCACCTTTACAGTAGATGAATTGGTTGAGGCTGTTCACAGGGTTGTCTTGCCTTCTGCCCACTGTGAGACTCAGGACCTCTATTATAATCAGAATATGTGGCCCTAGGGCTCAGACCTCCATTGACCCCCACACCTGTGACATCAGGCTACAGGAAAGCAGGTTGGGTCATCTCCTAGAGGGATGTCAGGCTACAGAAGACAAAGTCTGCTACTAGAGCCCATCCTCTCCTCTTGTGACCTAGCCTATTGAAGAGGCCTTCTCTATACCCGTGCCTCTGGGGTGCATGTCTGCTGGGGTGGGGTGGGGGTGTTGCTCTGAGGCAGGATAGCTGAGAAGAGATGCTGTAAGTCAACATACCCTCCCTACTTCCCACTAGTGAATCTCTCCCTCCTGGAAAGTCTGAATGGTGTCCAGATACTTATTTCCCTGTTACAAACTGCTGAAGGTGATGGATTCAGACTTTAGCACCATGTTGATATAAATAGCAGCTGGTACACCTGCAAACAGGTTTTTTAAAATGGAACGTATTAGCCTATTGGGGTGAAACATCAGTGTAACTGATTCCTCCAGGTCAGAGATCTTAAGTCAGCAGCCATGACATGCAGGAGAGCATGCCAGGTTGAACCCACCACCACTCCCTCATGAAGAGGGTCATGGGACCCTGATCTGATATTTCAGTTGCCATACCCTCTTACTCAGAGCACATACAAGGTAGAAGGGTGGGGTGGGGCTTTTCATTAATGCAGCTGCCTCCGGGGTGCTTGTGCTCTTCTAAGTCACCCCAGGAAGCTTACTGGTTCGCCATGCCATCCTGAATGGGTCTTCCCTTTGGCTTGTCAAGGCTGGTTCTGTTTCTGGGATGAATACTTGTTTCTTTCCATCAGCTCAAGAAAAGTCACACAACAGACACCCGATCCTTACTTAGAAAATCAAAACAAGAATCCCTCTCTGGAAGTCATGTGTCCCGTTGACTTGCCTCATTCATCCAGAAAGGTCACATTCATTTTCACTGAGCTAAAGCTTTTAGGTGCTTGGATTCTGGCGTGTTATTCAAGAATACAGACAAGGCACCAGATTCACCCCACCTCCAATTACAACTTTTAGAATATGTTTATATATAGTTAGTGTGGAGAAGGAGATTGTGCTACTGAGACCACCGGATGAGCACCCTACAGAGAGGGACATGTTCCCAGGGCTTGCTGACCACGGGCAATAAAACAATCAAGAAAACTAGAGATGAAACTAGAGGTCTGAACATTAGAGTTGTGTGAAATATTACTCTGATAACTGTCTGAGAAGAATTAAGGACTGCAGAACCGCTAGGGAGACTGCCAAGTGGTAACAGCACTTTCTGTACAAGTATGTAAGGACCTGAGTTTGAATTCTCAGCACTACAGCAAAGCTGACATTGACTGCATGCCTGTAACCCAGCCTTGGTGGGTGAAGCAGAAATAGGCGGATCCAGGAGCTTGCTAAAGAAGGAATGGAATAAAAGAAATCCATTTTAAATACTGCAGCAATAAAGTATCAGTGCACTGTGTAGATAGATCAATAATGAGTTTTTCTCTGAATGTTGGTTAACTTTACCAGATACACTTCCAAGTCCTAGAAATAGAGCAAGATGGAATGTGAGAGAGAAGGTTCTGGGGCTGCAGCAGATTGTCATCCTCTGGAACAGACACAGGCTCTATAAGACCTCTCTTAGCATTGGGTCATGAGACCTTGTGGTGTTTGGGGTCTTGCTGTCCCCTGCAGAATCCAGACTGTGACCCAGGCCTGTCATCCTAGCTATTTGAAAACCTGAGCAGGAGGTGAAGCACGCCTTCAGTGTTTGCCTGGGCCCCAAGAGATCCTGCCTCAGAGTGCAGGGCTCTGGATTCCATACCTAGTGCCACAAGAAACAGAACTTTCCCTAGGAAACTCAGGCACAGTTCCCCAGTGTCAGGAATTAACCTTGAGAATAAAAGGTACCTGTCACCAGACAATTTATAGATGGCAACTCAGAAAGTCCCTTGTCTCACAGTACCCTCTGCCCATGCCTTAGCTTACTTCCAATGGGGCTCTGCCTGACTTCTGGTGGAGTTTTTCCTAACTTCCGGTGGGGCTCTCCCTCAACACAGTGCTTTTTGGGCCATCTTCTGAATGGTGGTAGACCGTGCACCTGGCCCTGTTCTGAGGCCTCTGCCGGGCTGTCTCCATTTGCACTGAGTATGAGGTGCCACTTCTCCCCACCCCATCCCTCATTCCTTCACACTTCCTCATTACATGTTCTCTGGGTGACATTAAAGAAAGATTAAAAGAAGTTACTGAGGAATGTCAGCTGCATAGGAATAAACTTCATGGTGACATAATTGAGTATTTATTGCAAGAAACAATGGGGGGATACAGAACAAAGGGCAAAGTGTAGAGGTCACTGAAGAGCCATCGAGAATGTTCCAAAACTAAGTATCACTCAGAACTACCAAGCTCAGTAAATTGTTTTCAGTTTCAGAGAATAATGCTGCCCTTGTGCAAGGTTTTCCTGAAATCTAGAGGCAGCTTTCTGTGTAATAGAATTTGTTCTTTTTCAAATCTCTTAAAAAGAGAGCCCCATTTAGACAGCCTCCGTCTGCAGTGATTGCAGTGAGAAAGTGTACATGAAATTCTGTAGTAGACTGAGATTATTCATTGTTACAGTCAAGAGTTTAACTAGTTTAATAAAAGAAAAGCTTTAATTATAGCAAGTTATAGTAGGTGAAGTAATTAAGAGTGATTATACTAATTTCCTAAAAGTGTGTCTAATGGAATCGGGACGGAGTTCTAATGAGAGATAAGATTTGAGAGATCCTTCCACAGTCTCATGAAGGATGTATCCTTATCCCCAGATAGTCTACATGATGCAGCTGGGAATATGTTGATGAGCAGGGCTTTCTTTCATCAGAAGTTAAACAAGGAGCTGCCTCAGTGTTTTTCTCTTTACTGAAATGAGATGTCCTGACAGAGCAATGTAAGGGAGAAGCATGTGTTCTGATTCCCAGTTCCTAAGAGGTAAGAGTCCACAGTGGCAGGGAAGATGTCTCAGTGACGGTTTACTGCTGTGAGCAGACACCATGACCATGGCAGCTCCTATAAAGGACAACATCTAATTGGGGCTGGCTTACAGGTTCAGAGGTTCAGTCCATTATCATCAAGGTGGGAGCATGGCAGCATCCAGGCAGTCACGGTGCAGGAGGAGCTGAGAGTTCTACATCTTCATCTGAAGGCCACTAGGAGAAGACTGACTTTCAGGCAGCTACGATGAGAGTCCTTTTTTTTGGGGGGGTGGGGGGGTCGAGACAGGGTTTCTCTGTATAGTCCTGGCTTTCCTGGAACTCACTCTGTAGACCAGGCTGGCCTTGAACTCAGAAATCCACCTGCCTCTGCCTCCCAAGTGCTGGGATTAAAGGCGTGCGCCACCACCGGCAGGATGAGAGTCTTAAAGCCCACCCCTTAAGTGACACACTTCCTCCAACAAGGCCATGCCTCCTAATAATGCCACTCCCCGTGCCAAACATGTTCAAATCACCAGAGAAGGCATGGTGTGGCTGCCCACAGCGTTGGAAGCTGGTTGATCCCATTTTGTCCCCACACAGGACAGAAGACAAGGAACTGGATAGAGTGTGGTTTTGTGTTCACCACACAAGGAAAGCACCAATACACTGCTCAGGGTGGGAAAACACAGCCTAAGATGTGGGAGGCCAAAGTTGGGGTTTCCTGACTCCTGGGTATTTAATAGCCACTGGGAACCGTGCCGAGGAGTTGAAAGGGAGGGTTGGGGGTCCATAGGCCTGTGATGAGGAGCTGGGGCTGGTGGTCCTGTATTCCTGGACATCCAGACGCCACTGAGTCTCGGGGAGTTGGGAACAGAGTTGGTTTGGGGCTAGGGGGATGGGAAACGCTATATTAGCTCATTGTCCTTAGCTTGGCAGCAATTGTCTGGGGGCATGGATGGGCCTTCTACAGGAGACTTAGATGGAGCGACTCTGTAGACAAAGGCTTCCTCCATGCTTCCCATAGCAGTTCTTGATGAGAGACATGGTCCTTGGTTCCAAACTGTTTTTTTGATTGTTCATCATAGAAAATGGGTACATGCCACCTCCTTGAGGTGAACCAGAGATTGAATGCCTTTTGCAGGAAGGGATGTCTGGGAAGGGAAGCTTACTGGCTGAACTCAGTGATGATCTCTGTGACCATATGTAGGGAGTGTGCTCACATGACAGGGGCCTGGTCCACTGCACTCAGAGACCCTCATCTTCCAGCGAGGCTCCACCTTCTAAAGGTTCTACAGCCTTCCCAGCAGTGGGACCAAATGTTCAAACTGATGAGCTCACGGAGAACACACATGCAAACCACAACAGGAACTCACTGAAACCACATCTTTTACTGTTTGTGTTGGAGTCCTTAAACACATCAACAATGTGGAAAGGGGGAGAAAAAGAATGAATTCCAGTGGCTTAAGGCTGTAGTCATGCTTACATATCTAGTAGGATCCAATGGAAGTTATTAAAGATTCTAAAATTGTCAGGCAGTGGTGGCACGTGCCTTTCTTTAATCCCAGCACTCGGGAAATTGAGTTCCAGGACGGCCCAGGCTACACAGAGGAAACCTTGTCTTAAAAAGCAAACAAACAGTCTAACATAAACTAGATGAGCAATTTTTCAAAGTATTCCTGAATTTTTAGCTACCATTTCTATATAATAAGTCATCCCAAAATATACAGCTGCTGCCGTCAGTGCTCTGTGCCCTCCAGTGCTGTGAGCTGGCTGAGGCTCAGCTGAGTGGCTGGTTCTTCTGCTTCATAGGCCACCAGAGCACATGCATGGAGCTTGGCTGTGTCAGGCTCATCCAGAGGACTCTATTCCTGTGTCTGTCTGGAATAGCCATACCCTGGCTGAACTCTGCACCCATCTGGGGTGATGGTGCTTTGTCATGTGTGATGGAATGCCCAGAAAGATAACTGGCAGTTCTGTGATGGCTTGTTGTTTGATCTGAGAAGTCCCAGGCTGTGATACCTGCTGTCCTTGTGAGTCAGTCAGGACACAAGGACAGTTAGACACAAGGCTGGGGCTGGGGCTGGGGCCAACACCTAATGGCAGGATAGCATGTTCACACAGCATAGGAAGGTCTGGTTGGTTCAGATCCCACACACAGTCACTGGAGCAGCCATAAAGGATACTTTAAGCCAATCAGCGAGATCCAGCTATGTGTTCTTTGTAAATCAAGCCATCATTAATATCACAATGAGAAAACGAAGCCACTGTTAACTGTAGAGTCTTAATATAGACAAGGACAGGAGTGGATAGAATCCTCTGTGGTAAAAATGACAGTCCTTTCTGAATTAATTTGAGATAAGTGCAATTTCAATACAGCTATCTAAAGATATGCTAAGAACTTAATTGCACCCATTTAAAAAAAAAAGACGAACAGTATTCAAAAAAACCTATTATAAATCAATAATAATTAAAATAGCATAATAATGATTCAAAAATAGAATAAGTCCTTCTGAAAAAAATAAAGAACATAGGCATCAGAATGTATTTAACACTAAATGAGAAGGCAATTTATATACACCATTTACATATAGAAACTAGAGAAGTCGACTTTATAAAAGTGAACAATAATCAGCATCACCTTTTGAGAGCTTTAATTACAGAATAATGAGAAAATGTGAAATATAATATGGCCAGATAAAAGCATATGTAAGTATTAGACGTTTCGTGATCCTGAAAGAGTAAGTTTTAAAAGAGACGTGTGAGCTCTAGAGAAAGGTTTGTAGTGAACGTGGCAGAGAAAGCCAGGATGTGTCCAGTGAGTGAATGAGCATCGGAAGACGCTGCCTCTGTGCTAAACAGCTGGGGCGTGTGCATGTGGCATGTTGAAGAAGACACCGTGTAACTGAGTGTGCGAACGATATTGAGGTAAATGCCAGTGCTAACAAGCTGTGGGTGCTCACCTGTTCAGTGTGAGAAACGCTTCGCTGCTCCAGGAAGCCACAAAGAGCACTTGGAGCCAGGGCCGTCCTGTGGATTATAAAGCAATCCATCTTCTCATTCAAGCACAGGGACAATTCACAGCCAAGCCAGAAAAAGGTACCACATCCCCTCCCCAAACCTGAAATCTCATTCCTAAGAACTGGCTGGTAGCCAGTTATTCAATATAAAATAATATAGCACGGTTGAAATGAATCAGAAGTAGGTAGGTGACCAGATTGTAACCCGAAAGGCACAGTGTCAGAGTGGAGCCATCTCCTTGGTCTAGAAGAGGTCTCGGTGCTAATGGTGTCAGCCCAGGCCAGCAATTCCCCTGTGTTGTGACAGTCACATTTAAGACTTGGCTGAGCCACATCCAAGCTTGAGTTTATTATTTCCCATTCTATTTGGTGTGGAATGTGATAATGCCCTTTGCCTGTCAGAGTTCCTGAACAGAATTGTAGATTTGCCTATAACACAGCAAGAGCCTTTAGCCGTCCACCATGTGGTGCCCAGTTTATCTTTTGCTGCTTGAGATGTGTTTATGTAGACTCATTTTCTTAATAATTCTTCTACTTTCCAATGGTTCAAGAGCAACACACCTCCCTTAGAAACTGCACATGGAATCTGCCAAGCTCTGGGACCGTCTCCCAAGGGACCCTCTCCCAAGGAGCCGCCTGCACTTTCATCAGCCCTATGATCATAATGTAGATGGCAGGCACTTGTCAGTGTGCTGTGTGGCTGGGCTGCAGTGTCCTATAGGCACTGTGTTGCATGCATTTCTAAAACCTTGTTAACAGGTTTAACATGATGTGATCTCATGAATAGGATCAAAGCCAAGTAGAAAATTCTGGCTATGGGTCAAACTGAGGCAGGGAGAGAAAGTGGTCCTAGAAGTAAAGGGCTGGGGAAAGTGCTCAGTCAGTAAAGTGCTAGGCGGAGGCTCTTGAAGCCCTGGGTCTCACCAGCTTACCCCAGTCAGTGAGTGGTCCAGGCCAGCAAGAGGCCCTGTTTCAAAAACAAGGTTGACAGCATCCTAAGGAATAGTAGCCAGTTGACCTCTGGTCTGCACACACGCCTGCACACACATGAGCGTGTACATACACAGGTCCTGGAGTTAGTGGTTCCCGTTCATCATCAGAGCGTCAGGAGCACCGGTGTGGTTCTAAGAGTTGGCGGCTTAGATGCTGAATGAGCCTGCGGATGTGGTGGTGGTCCAAGTGCATCACTCACTAAGCTGCAGGTTATTGCACCACGTGCCTGCAGCTGAGGATCAAGTGCTGCATGGGTAATGCAGCTCCCTGTCGGGCTGAGTGGGTGCAGAATCTCTGTCATGTGTAGGTTACGTCGAGTGTCTCAGAAGGTCAATTAAAGGACCTCCATGCCCTTGGCAGGTGCTAGGCAGGGCCCGTGCAGTTGGAGAACCAGTCACTGGGTGGGCCGGGAGCACTGTGAGCATCTGAGCCTTCAGCGCTGTGTGCCTGCAGTGACTTCCCATCATGTGCTCCTGGCAGCCTCAGCATCGCTCCCCTTTTTAATTAACTGGTAGTGTGTGACCCTACATCAACCAAACAGGCAGGTCACCTCATTAGGAGGCCTGCGCAGCAGCCAGCAGGAGACAGAGCTCCCAGCGCGCCTGGGTACTGCTCCTCCCCATTAATCAGTCCCTGTGAGAAGGGCCTCCTCAGTACTAGCTGGCAGATCGCATCCCTCCCTTCCCAGCTGCAAATGCACAGCACTCGGTCCATGGGCACGGTGATGTTCTGTAAGGACAAGGTGCTTCCTGCCTACCTTGCAGCTTTGCTGGCCTGAGTTCTGGGTCAGAGTTCAGCCCCAAGGCTGGGCTGTTCCTCTCTTTCCTTTTCTTTCCAACCCAACTTTCTGGAAACATTGAATGGCAAATTCATAATGCCTTGTGGTAAGAGGCCCTGAGTCTCACCTGCTTCTGGCTTTGCTCCTGGCATTGCTAGGACCTCTGAGCTTCCTGCACAGTTTCTAGTGAGACGGCCCAGCTGGCTGCTGTCACCACCACTGTTCTTAAATTCGAAGCATGGATCATTCCCGTCAGTCTGAAATGATGGCATCTGTGGTTGATCCATTGTGTCAGACACTGCCACCTGACTTCTAACTAGAACACATGAAACATGTTACCTCACCATGGTGTGTGACACTATATATAATACCTGGTTATGTCTTTTACACATTCAGAGACAGGAGCACACACACCTATTCCAACAATTGCCAGCACCCCCTGCATGCTCTACTTGCACAACCCCACCTTTCAAGCCTTAGAAGGGTCCCTGAGATCCTCAAAGTCAGAGAGATCTTCCTGTTCACAGGAGAATTCTCAATCTTATTTCAGGTATTGACTCAGATGAAGAACTCGGGCTTCTCTGTCACCACGCCTCCTACCTAGGTGATTGGCATGGGTTCTTACTGTTTTGTAGCTTGTTCTGTATTTCATACATCTGCACGCCTGCATGGAGGTCCACATACTGTGTTGGGGGTGCACAGGGACGTGTGCCCTGACTGTCTCTGGAATGTTCTTGAGCTCATGGGAGCTTGCAGCAGGATCCATCTCCATGGTTGTCACCAGCCACATCATCCAGCTTGCTAAACCACACACAGCCAGGAGCTTTAGATTCCCTGGAGTATGGAAAGAAGAAAGCCAACTTGCTCTGTTGCTGTGGTATATGCACCATGCCCTCCCTGTGGAGGACTGCTAGCCTCATGCTTCTTCATTGCCACCAGCTTGCCTGAGTTTCTGTTTCTCCATTTTGTTTCAAACAGAGCATTGTGGTAAGAAGGGTCAGCAGATTCCATTCAGTAAATTGTTCTGTACAAAGTCAAGGGGCCTGGTGGCTCTCACCAACCTGCTTTCTGTATGTTCTTCATCTCCAGACCAGAGGGTGGCCTCTTTCTGTACCCTGACCGACCTCCAGCATGGACAAGAACTAGAAGGGGCCCCAGAGCTGTCCTTGTGTGTAGATCCTACCAGTGGCAAAGAATTCATGGATACACCTGGGTATGTAAACCCTCTCTCCCACTTTCCCACCACTTAGGGATCCCAAGCCAGGCTGGAGAGAGCCTTACAGTGAGACTGACCTGGGTACTAGAAATGATAACACTGGTATGTGTGCCCATAACACTTCATAGACAGATCCTGCCTGTTGGCTGCCTGTGCCTCACTGACTGAGAGGAGCAAGTGTAACCTCCAGTCAGCTGCCTAATTACTACAAAAGCACCAGGCAATGACCCCTTGTCAGTCAATTTTGGCCAGCCAGGCCACTCATGCCATATGGCCTACCTAGGGCACAGTTCTTCTCAGACCCTGATCCTTGACCCAACTATCTGCCTACAGTTGACATATATGAGGGATGCCCCCCAGTCATGATGCATGGGCTTCGTGAACTGAGTCATGGTTAACTTGCTAAGGAACGAGAAATCATATCCACATGTGGCTCCCAGGACTTAACTCTGGCCTACTTCTTCTCCATTTAAATAAGCTTGGCTTTTGTTTTCTTACCAGCCTTAGTGTCTTATCGGTTCTGAGTCATGGTGGTAGCTATGTCCTAAGTCATCAACTTACACATAATATTTTCAGTGAAAAGTTTACTAACATGAACACAAGCAATGTCCTAGCCTTAGGTCTCTTAAGTCCTCTTAATTGTACCATTTACCAGGGAGCGATCACCCTCCACACTGACTGGGAAAGTTAACCAGCTAGAACTGATTCTCCGACAACTGCAGACTGACCTTCGGAAGGTATGTAATTGCTGGAGTCCACAGACAAAGCAAAGTTTTTCCCACACTCAGCTCCTTTAATTTCTGCAAATAAATGGATGAGAACCCTAAGCAGACCTGGGTCCAGGAAGGAGGTTCCCTCATCTGTTCTCATCAGCAGCTAGTGTAGGGTTTCCACTGAGGGCACAGAGTCTTGTAGACATGCCTGGGGGTGTCTGTGCCTTCTAAATGGTGAGATATCCACATAAAGTAAGATTCTATGGGTTGTTGCTTGCAGCAGCCACATGTGAGCCAACTAAAGGTTACTCACTAAAGACAAGATCTCCAAGAGTCCAGTCAGTCAGCTCTCACAGTCAGTCAGCTCTCACAGTCAGTCAGCACTCACAGTCAGTCAG